AAGAGATTGTGCACAACTGGATATTGCTGATTAATTCTATTTTTACACAAAATAGCGCGACAATCGCAAAACAAACTATTTCTAATGTTTATTTATTATCAGCGACCCTTTTCTAGGCTTACTCTGTGGTCACAGTGTTCTCATCTGTACCCATAATGTTTCCTGTAGAATCAGGCCACTCCCGCACATAGCTGCGGTTCGTTTCTGCACATCAGGCCATGTGAGCTTCATATAGGCTAACAAATGCTTCTTACCCGGTGGTTCTGGTACGCCGTGACCGCGGTGAAGCGGGTTTCCTCGAAAACAAAAGTTTTGTAATTCTCTTCGGCGTATTTCTCGCTGTCCTTGCGGGGGTCCACATAAACCACATGAAACCTGGGCTGGTATCGGTGCATGGAGTTCAGGATGATCTGTAAAAGACAGAGGATTCATCATCACTCTTAGAGTTATAGGATTAAGGCTTGAAGGCTTACATTCTGCAAGTAAGACTATTTTCGATGTTTTATTAGGCTTTAATAAATAAGAAGATTTTGCTTAATTTAGTAACGATCGAGGTAGTTTAGTGATTATCTTTTTATTAAATATTAAAACCCTCTCAACCATTTCCAGCATACATATTTGTGGATATAACCAGGTTTGGTAAATGGCATTAAATGCAGAAATACCCTGACGCTCCTATTAAATGCGCAGAGCCTTTTAAAACACGTCTCTCTAAATGTGTAAGGCCGCCTGAGAACATTTTATCAACAAAATTCTCATTTCAAAGCCTAACACTCGTTAACTAATCTCTCAGGGTCATGGTGGACACTTGCATCCAGCAGTCTCACACTTTTCAATATTTTTTTTGAAACATTCCCCCCAAACTCGTTTTCTTTCTGATTTCACAACTAGGCCTAACGCACTGACACACGGAAACACTCAGTGGAACACACGGAGTGGAAGATCAAGCGGGAAGGGCTGAAATGATTTCCAGTGGTGAAATATTCCACGTCCTTGGCGTCATTTTTGGAGGAAAGCCTGATGTTCAGTGCAGATTTGTGTAGACTGAAAATACCCTTTAGGCAACATCTGACTGTTAGTCAAAATATCAAGGTTTATTAGTTAAATTACTTGTATCAATCAATGTGAGGGCGAATAAAAACGCTCAACCTCTCTTTAATGGTAATTCCCCTTCTCCTGGGATTTGTTTGTGTCCGTGGTGAGTTTACAGTAGGCCTATTTCTGAGCCCTTAAGGTGTCGGTAAATCTCAATTTTTCCATATTTTACTAAATTATCTGCGTAGTTTTTTGTTCGTTTGTTTTTGTTTTTACATGCATTTATTCCAGTCGCGTGGGCCTACTCACATGGCCGTTGTCATCCAGCAGGTTGTTTGTGAGCTTAAGTTTGTCGAAAGAGACAATCTGCTTCATCCACTGGGCGCCTTTGGCCGGAGAGTCCGGGTGGTAGTGGACCCTACCCGGTGTGGCGGGATCGGCTTTACCGGCAACCAGCCAAGATGAGCTGTGGAAAGCATACCTGTAAGACCGAACACAGTCAATTAGTCCGACATTATTCACTTAGGCTTACAGAAAAGTCGCCTACTCACGCACGGTCCACAGAATTTTCATGGATGAGTTGAGGTCAAAATATGACAGCATGTCACCAACATATTTCGGGCATAAAGTGTGGAAATATTTATAAATGTTCTCCTCTAAACATGCATAATGATAATGAATGTATGAATTCATACATATATTTATATATGTATTTATACTGGGTTTTTATTGTTTATTTTTGCTAATGGAATTTGTTGCTGCAAAGTGTGGATTGTGCAGCTCAGTAAAAGCCTCCGGAGTTACGGTCCTGTGTCCTGCTGACACGAGCAGTTGTTTAAAGACACCCAAAATTTACCTGTAACGTTTGTCGTCTACAGGCAGGAAGTCCATCAGGAGCATGTAGTCTGCCATGGGATCCATCCCAAATATTTTCACTTGGAAAGTTGGGAACATTCTCCTGGTAAACAAAAAAGGCGAGTGTTAAATCTAGGCTTGAAATGGTTGCATGGGTGCAAATTTAGTTTTTATGCCCTGCTTTTTAAAACCTGAATAGTCTCTCTCTATGTGTGTGTGTGTGTGTGGACAGTGGTGTTCAGTTGGAAATCGCCAAAGGAGCCAACACAGTATTTTGATTGCAGAAAGACATGCACCTCCAGGCCTAGAGAGCTTAATTTGGCCCGAGCAGGAGGCTACAATGAGACAGAGGCTTCACGCTATTGGGAATGATGTGATTCAGCCCATGCGTAACCAGATAAAACTCCCCCTGATCTGAATGGAGCTCGCGTTTGTTGCTTTATAGCTCCGCTTTTGTAATTTCTGGCATGATGCTTTAACGTCTTTTCAGCTCTTTTGATGACTTCCAGACACATGAAGGCCTACACACACATGTAGTGGAAACACGGGCGTTATTTGGGTAGGCGAGGTGTGTAGTTCCGTTTTGAATTTGAACTTTGTACCATCAGGATCGAGAGGAAAACATATCCACAATTCAATTTGTTTGAAAAATAAAATAAAATACAGCGAGGAAAATAGAAGCAGTGTTCTCTGCGTACTGAAATATTCATATTTAAACAATCATTAATCTGCTTTGTCCCTAGAAATTTGGAAGTTTTGCTCTAATTGTTGGTTTTATATGCGGCGGCCGGGCAGCGCCTCTGCACACAAACACTTGTTTCCCCCTCCACCTCATCTAGGTTAATGTATGGGGCACATCCAAATCCACCAAGAACATCAGCGGAAAGTTGAGTAATCCGCGAGTCAGTGAAAGGGATCCTAAAATCAACGCTCAATTAACGTCAGTGTTGTGGCTAGGTGAGGCTGAAGGAGCTTTTAAAGTGCTCTGTTGCAGATCTCATTTCTCCTGTCAGACAGTTCAGAGCCCTGGCTTTCAGGATTAAATCAACTATCCCGTGCCTCTTTATTTTACTATAATATAAAACAACTCAGGAGGGCACTTGAAGACGCATATGCATGGTATATTTAGTGTTTACTGGTGGACAATAATAGTATATTGAATATTAGTGTAACATTTTGTTGGAGGATCAGAGGTCAACCCTGGTTGAATTTTGTCTTTCACAAGGATACAAGCAGAGTTAAGTGCCCTATAAATTCTGCAACAAAAATGGCACTTAGAATTCATCTAAACTTTGGAAATTAAAAAGGCAAAATCGGCCAATCAGAACTCCTTATGTTGCCATATTCTGTTTTATCTATTAACCAAATCACAGCCAGTGTCTCCGTGTAATTTAGCCTAGCCAAAAATTGTTTTTGAAGTGGGAAGGGAGTGAATCAGACAGACACTCTTATAATGAGGAAATAGGACAAACGGTAAACACGTGTCGAGGCCCGACTAAAAACAAGACTGCAGTCAGCGTGTGTGGGAGCTGGTCTTTGTCCACACATGTAAAGGCGCATGGATGAAATGTTCCATAATGCACCAGAATAGCGGTGCGTAAAACTGAAATTGACGGTGAAGAAAACCAGCCGAGAGTCACGGTTTTTCGTTTTGGATCTATAAAACGCAGCAGGATCATATCAACATGTTTACAGCTGTTTACCCCCCCCCCCCCCCCCCCCCCCCACACACACACACACACTCAAGCACAAGCCTCCATGCGTTTGACCTCGTTTAAAACATCCCGCAACAGGACTGAACTGCTCACCTGCACAGCTTTAAATTAAATAGGATGTATTTTATCCACACAGCCGACATAAATAGTGTGTTTTTTTATTTAATTCATCCGGCTTGTAAATAAACATTTTAGGCCTTAATGTGCAAAAAGCAAGATGATGGTTTCTGTTAATTATTCTACAATGCAGACAGTTTTACCACTCTACACCCACACATAGGCCTATGTTTTCTGATTTAAGAAAAACTGTGAATAGTGAAATAAGATTGTTCATTTTGACCTCCAGAAGAATAAAAAATATTTTTAATCAGACTCCTTTATCCTTATTTAATTTGGTAGCCCTCTGTTTGTTGTTGCTCAAAATAAATGTTACAATGAAGCTACTCCGTTTATTTGTCCGGTCTACCAAATCTGCATGAGGAGAAAAGTAACTTTACTTTTGTGAATAATTTGTGCTCACCTGCCAGCCTTGGTAACTATCATCTCCGTGCCCAGCTGATTAAATTCGTCCCATAAAGCTTTCATCTCCAGCTGGACGTTAATGTTGGCCACTTTGGGGTTCTTCTTCACTATTGTTTTGCTGTTCGGTGTGGAGTTGGACGAAGAGGAGGAGCAGTTGGGAGTCCCGTTGTCACTCGGCGGGGCCTGGCCCGGGTTAGACCCCGGATAGTAGTTGTGCTGCGCGGCCGGGCAGGGCTCGAAGTGGGATTCATGCTGGCTGTAGGGGTCCCCGGGGGACGGAGAGAGGTGGTAGCCCCCCTGCGTGTTGAGGCTGCTCAGGCTGCTCGTCGTGAAGGCTGCAACATCGCAAAAATGGGACAGCTGCGTCAGCCACGGACTGGATATGGCTGAAATCATCCCAAAAAACTGGATTTACTAAATATGCCTTGCACTTTAAGTCGGTTATAAGACAGATGGTAAAAACAGAAGCAGCATTCAGTGAGCTCCAGATGAAGATGTCATGCACAAATGCCCCCGTTTCGGTTTAAAAGTTTCCGTCTCGACTGCTTATTAATCCCTGAGGTTGCGTCCACTGCCAACATACTACAGTCTGCCTGATCTAAAATAGCAATCGTCTGAAAAGTGATGAAATGTTTCCAAAAAACGGCGGGGCTCGCGGATAATCTCTGAGCTATTCGCAGAAAGGAGCTTCGAGTGCGTGTGAAATAGTTTTTGCTCTGAGCGGCCTCTGCTGTGCGCTGCTGCTGTGTGTTACACTGCGACGCAGTCTCCTCTCTTATCTGACGCAGAGGGCCTCCCCTTTGCGATAAAACCGGTTCTTATTTCTATTTAGATAAGGAACTGCAGGTAATGTGTCTTTTCCTTGCCTTGGGACGAGACTGATTGACAGAGAAGTGCGTCCCTTTTTAATGGGCTTTCCGGGACCCATTTAACTTTTGGATAAGGGTATCGCCCACATCACCCCGTTAGCAAACAATAGAGGACCTGGCCGGCAGAGCTGAGTGTAAACGGTATACCAGGTAAACACACATTGATTTGCATGAACAAACAAACATTCCGCATGTGACTGTTGCGTTCTCCTTAATGGACAAATAGATGTATGGAATGGATATACACCCCCTCCGAGCTGGATATGCATATTATGGTATTTTTTTTTACCATTATGCACAGGGTGCCCATGTAAACCCTCCTCCTATTGGCTTCATTTCAATGTATGTGATCCTGTCCGCGAATTAAAGTTGACTCTTTGTTCAGCGCTTTGTGGTTTTCTAATGGGAACCTTTTTTTCCACTGGCTGCTTTGTATGCAGGCTTCTCCTCCCTGATGGTGATTACCGGGACTGAATTTGTATTGTTTTTCATTGAGCTCTAACTGTGCCAAATTTTATTTTCACAACCATTTCATTCATGCATTTAAAAATAACGCACCATATGTGGTTTTGCGCTTTGATTTCAATTGTGCACTTCACGAATGCCGATTAACCGAGGAAATGCAAGGGCGTTATGTAATTTCAGATGAGACGTGTACACGCTACAGCAGCTCTGTGGGCATCAACAAACAGATTTACCTTCCATTTCCCGGGTGACAGTGCTGTAGTGCATTTTAAAGGAACTGTGGTTGTGCAGGTCTAGCTTGTTCAGGCCGGTGCTCTGTTTGTCAAACGCTGCGTTTCCTGCTTGCTCTGCAGCCGAAATCAGAGAGGCAATACTGAAAGCATTTGCCTTTGGAGAGAGGGGACCGCCGTCGTCCATAGGCAAGGAATCGAGTCGGGAAAAGCTGTCCCTCCTCCGCTTTCCAACCGAGCAGAAAGCAGGAGAAGGCTGCGCACAATGGAGAAGAACATGCGCCAAAATGGGGTTTTCACATTCCGCCACCGGCGCTCCGTAGGTGCGAGAGTCTGTGGTAGTCTGTTCTTAAAGTATTCCCACGGCTATCGTGAAGGCGCGAAAAGCTCCCCGGTGGTCAGATTGATTTGATGAACCTCTGAACGTGTCCTGATGTCAAAACAGTTCGTCCGCACAGAGGAGAGAGAGAGCTTCCCTTGTTTCTCCTCCGGTCGGTGGCGGGGTGGTGTCATCTGAGTCCTGCCTTGAGGAGAAGCTACTACTGCTATGAGAATGTCAAAAGTGAGCGAAATCCACGCCTCCCCTACACCACCAGGAAAAAAGTGTCTGCGCTCTGCACTGGATGTTTTATTTCAATAAGACCGTGTCAGTCATTTGAATTCAACTCCAACGTCATTGCAATGTCCGGCTTCAAAGTGCGCCAATTTTCCAGTAAATAATGGGCATATATATATATATATATGTATTTATATGCGTTTTGCACGTTTTAGCTGTTCTAGCCCAGATAGAGCTGATCCTGCCTCGAGGTTGTCTGGAACATCAGGGAGAACAGAAGTTGCGTCTTTTACGCAGGAGTTCATTCTGAAAAATTTAGTTTTCTTTAAACTTTTAACTTATTTTACTTATCTGTATATATATCGCACACATATTCTGTTTAAGTCCCTGTTGTTTTTATTTCACACTTGCTCTGGCAATGGCAATGTAAGCTCTGCTTCCCATCCCAATACAGCCCCACTGAATTACAGGTTGGGAAAACATAAATGAAGTTAATTCACATTAGTTTAAATTGTTTTGGGTGTTTTCTGAGTCAAGTAACACATAAATATGAATATTGATTTTAGCAAAAAAGAAAATATGGATCAAAGAAATGCACAAATGGACAAGAAGTGGCAGATTTAATTCATTTAATTTAAGGAATGACTCACTCTCACACCAGCCATCCACCCGTGCGCTTATGTATTTGTCTACTGAGCACACTCTGCCAAAAGCAGTATCAATTATAGCGTAATGTGTAACCCGATTTGCGCAGCCCCTTACTTCTTGTGTACCTACACAGAGAAAGACAGACATTTCACTGAGCAAAACGCCTTTCGTGCAGCCAGCAAACAGAGACACACGTGGCACTGCAGACCGGAGCTGGACTTGACCTCTCCGCCTCGCGCCTCCACTATCGCCTTGTTGGTCCTCAGCTTATCGAGGTTCAGCTTTTAATGTGCAGCAACCAACGATGTGTTTTGTTGGAGCTGCTGCGATAGCGAGCGGATAGTCTAATTTACACTGGAGTCACTGAATTAAGTGTGAAGGCAGCAGCGGGGATCTAATGGGATAAAGCAGTTAGAGGATTAGCCCTATTTGTTTTGGATGTTTCTCCGTGGGAGGCAGTGAGCATAAATAAACTCCTGCAATTTGTTCTTTAGGGCAAATAGATAGATAGATAGATAGATAGATGTGACTTATAACTCACACTCGTAGCACTCTGTTTATTAATAAAGTGGGGAAACTCCAATGTGGCCTCGCGCATTGATTACTCTATAAAATAAATCAGGCATGGCGCTTTCAAAACCAGTGTAAACCGTCGCCCAGGTGATATATTCCTCCCAGTGTATGCCGGCCTTTTTATCAGATATGATGCCATCGATACCGACTCCACTTCATCATTGCCAAGTTGGAAGCCTCCTTTGTAAATACTCAGGTGATAACAGACAAAATACAGGAGCAGATCAAAATGGGAAGACACTGTGTTGGAATGCGCTCGCAGGCCTCAGCAGCGGCCAAAGCACAGCGGAGGCATTCAGCATTGCACATGTGGACATAAAGACTAACTTTAAAATGTCAATAAATATTTTCCAACGAGCTGCATTTCCCCCTATGAAAAATATAGTAACACATTTTTGAAAAGTGCTGTGGAGTTAGAGAAAGGGCCGGAGCAGCATTTGAATCGACATGCTCACAGTAACAATATTAAGGATTGATTCACTGTGTAAAATAAACACTTTAAAGCTTGTTATGAATGCGATTTCTGTCACTATAGGGAAGCGACAAAGCAACGAATCACACAAGCAAACAAAACCTGTGCAGCTACAGCCTGTTAGTAACTGAGGAGGTAGAAGTTTCCATAAAATGTAAACAACAGCTGTACTCTTTCCATGAAGATGGACAACAAGGACATTTGAGCGCCGCATGTATTAATAGCGTGGTTACTACCATAATATAATAGTCAGTGTTCGATACAACATTCAAGAAGCAGCAGAAGCAGCCACAAAATAAAGTTGTATGTTTTTTACGCACATCTTTGACGTTGTTTGACACGTCTTTGCTCTGTGGGACCCTGCATCCTGGAGTCAAACGCCAAAAGCTGACAACAACTAGACGAAGTGAGCAAAGTACGGCCCTCACTGATTAGAGGATACAGGCATTCACTGACTGATGGATACAGAACACAGCGCTGGTACACAGTGACTCTCCCTCTCTCTGCTGCTCTGTTGTCAATATCGACCCACATCTCTGAATTGCTTTTATTGAACACGTGACGATGTTGTAATCATTATTCACACAGTGGTCGGTGTGGGGATTTCATTTATGATGCCTTCATATTGTTCGTGTAGAGGGAAACAGCCTTGGATTTATTGATCGTGACAGGCTATCAGTTAGGCTTCTGCTGAACCGACGTCTTTTTAAAATCGATTTAAGTCAGCATTTTGGTAGGAACACCAGCACTTGATGTTGTCCAGGTACACATTAGGTGCCCATACGCCTTGTGGCCCTGCTGATGTGGAGTAATATTAATTGCGACGTGCAAAAGCCAAATACATTCTCTGTCCCTGAAGAAACTGAAAGTAGGCCTATACTATGAGTTTAGAAGATTTGATTTTTTTTTATGACTTTAAATGTTGGAAATGTGTACACTTTTATTTCACAGCTGAAAAGTGAAGCCTATACACCCTCTGCACGCGTTATTCTCTTTTCTATTAGCCTACCTTGCTTACCTCCGGCCCGCACAGCGTGGCCCCACAGAAGTCAGCTGACAGGCTAATGCGCACGGATGACAGGGCCAACAGGGCCTTCGTTGTCATTGTGCTTTTACGCACGAAAAAGCGCAGGAACGCACTGTTTGATAAAAAAAATATAACAAACAAAAAGCACCAGTCTGATTGCAGCTGTGTGACATTTGTTGGAGACATTTTGGCAGTCAGTCACACACAGCACGCGCTGTTGGTTTTCTTTCTGTTGTCTTTTACACCACTGTCGGATGCTTCTGTTCCTGCTCATGTACTGCAGGAGAGGCCTGTGTGGTCTCGTGTGTGTCCTGATGTGGTAACATGACAAATCACCACACCAAAAACCGCCCGTGCCATGCCTCATTAAATGGCGCTGATCTCGTAAAACTTCGAGGCTCGGCTGCTGCACTTTTTGTATTATTAATAAACAGAGATGTGATTAGGTCATCGGTAGTCTTTTGTTCTTGTACTCTGCCTGCTTCCCTCAGACACACAATAAAACTGCATCCAATGCCCTTTGATGTTTTTATCACTGTGTTGTCTTTAATTTAACGAGCCTGTCTCTGCGGCAGCCAGGCTGATGCAATTATTAATTACACGCTCACATCATTTAACAGATAATAAATCACGCGCTATTCCACTGATCATAAAAACAATGATTTTCACATTCATGTTGCGTGACTGCAGCTGGGGGACGCGGCGGCGCACTCCACGTATAAAACTCTATCCTATCTAAATATTAGTGTAAATCCCTGAATAAGAAGGAGAGGAAGTGAGCAGTTGACCGCTGACAGCAGAGGGCCCGGGGTGTCCCCTCTCTCCGCGGGGCTTTAGGAAATGCACGGAGAGACGCAGGTATGCAGGAGGAAGTGTTCAAAAAGGTGCCTCAGCTATCTATAGGACCTCCGGCCGGTAGTCATTATGGGGCCAAAATTCATATGAATAAAAATCTATTCTAGAGACACCAGAACATTTTTATTAGAGTCCTTGGATAAAGACCTTAAATAAGTTATAAATTAGTATTGGATTTACACCGCATAAATAACATTGGTTAATAAACGGAAATGAAAAATTGAGTAATCTTATCATGAATATTCTTTGGTGTAATTCATATTTCATTTTTTTTTTTAATGTTAACAGTATATATTTATTTAGGCTACGTAGCTATTGAAGCAA